ACGGTCGACCCTCATTGGCAGGCAGGACCCCACCACGTGGCCACACCCTGATGTGCTCATCTGCTCACTGGGTGTCCAGGCGTCTGTCACGTGGATGATGGACCTTTCTGTAGTTTCCCGGTTTAGGCCATTGCAGATAATGCTGCCGTAAACATTTGTATGAGTTTCTGTGGACGTGTGTCTCCTTATCTCTTTGGTAAATACCTAGGAGTGGAATGACTGCGGCATACAACAGGCCTGCGTTTAACTTGTTAAGAAACTGCCAAACCGTCTTCCAAAGTGGCTCCAGCATTCACCATTCCCCCCAGCCAAGAACGAGGGTTCCGGTTCCACACCCTCGCCAGCACGTCCTCTGGTCGACCTTGTGAGTTTCGCCCATTCTAAGAGGCGTGCAGGGGTATTTCACTGTGGTTTCCATTTGCATTTCCTTGATAATTAATGATGTCAGGCATTTTTCCATCTTTCCATCTTTCCATCGTACTTTGTTTGCTATCTAAATCTTTTCTGGTGAAGTATCTGTTCAAATCTTTTATAGGGTTGTTTTTTTCTTATTCAGTTTTGAGAGTTCTTTATATAGTCTAAATTTGTTACTATTATCAGATTCTTCCAGTCTTAGTGTAACTTTTCATTTTCTTAACAATATCCTTCAAAGAGTGGAAATTCTTAAATTTGCTGAAAGTCATACAGATTTTCCTCAGTGTTTTCTGCTAGAAATGTGAGCGTCTTTGGTCTCGGATCCATTTTGAGTTGATTTTCATGCGTGGTGTGCGGCCTCGTTTTTGTTGTGTTTTGTTTTACAAACGCCCAGGGACTGCAGCCACTCAGGGAGATGCCCTTCCTCCGCTCAGCATCGTCGTCCCTTCGCCAGCCACCACCCGGCTGTGCACCTGTGGTGCCCTTCTGGTTCCCCACCCCATCCCACGGGTCTACACGGCTGCCATCGTGTCTGTGCTCCACTGTGTCAACACTGCGCCCGTGTGATGGGCTCCTGACATCAGGTGGCATGTGCCCTCCTATTTTGGCTACTTTAGGTCCTTTACATTTTTATATAACTTTTAGAATAAACTTGTTAAATTCTACAAAAAAAAAAAAAAAAAAACCTGTGGAGATTTTGACTAGAGTTGTGTGGAATCTACAGATTACTTTAGGACAAGTTGACACCTTGGCAATACTGGGCCTTCTCACCTAAGAGCCTGATGCTTCTCTCCATTTGTTTAGTTCTTTAATCTCTCTCAGCAATGTTTTATAGTATGAGTGTACAAAGTCTTGCACCTTTTGTCAAATGTATCCCTAAGTATTTCCCGGCTTGGAAGCTATTGTCAATGGTAGTGTTTTAAGTTTTAATTTCTGATAGTTAGTTATATAGAAATGCAATTGGTTTTTGTACCTTGACTTTTGTATCCTTCAACCTTGCCAAAATCACTCACTAGATCACACTTTCTATACAGATGATGAGACCACCCGCAGAGAAGAGCTATCTAGATGCTTTTCCTTTCTTCCTCCTGCCTCTCTACTCCAGCCGGGATCTCCAGCATGGTGCTGACACTGCAGTGGGTGGCCCTGCCTGGCTGCTGGCCTTGGGGGACGGCCTCAGCCTCCTGCCGACCTGCAACACTCAGGGACAGCTGTTCTGCGGATGTCCTTTGCCAGCCGGAGGAAGCTGTCTTCCCCTCCTCATTTTCTAAGAGCTCGTATTCGGAGTGGATGTTGGGTTTTGTCAAATGCTTTTCTGCATCTATTGCAATCATCGGATAGTCTTTATTTTTTAGCTTATGGATATGGTGAATCACATTGGCTGATTTTTCAAATATTAAATGACCTTTGTATTCCTGGGTTAAAAATCCACGTGGACATAATATAAATCCTTGTAACGTCTCGTTTTGCTCCATTTCCTAACATTTTGTTAAGAATGTTATTAGCATCTATATTCATGAGGCATATTGGTCCTTTTTTTTAAATCTCCTAATGTCTTTCTCTGGGTTTGTGTCCGGATAATGCCAGCCTCAGAAAATCAGCTGGGAAGTAGCGTCTCTCCTCTTTAATTGCTGTGGGAGGATGTGTGTAGACATCCTCTGGGTGTAGAGGTTTTTCCTTTGTGGGAAGATTTTAAACTAAACTGTCTATTACCTTAATAGATGCGGGCCTATCCAGGCCATCCCTTTCTTCTAGAGTGATTATGTAAGCTTGGGTCTTTCGAGGAACTTGTCCATTTCATGTAAGTTGTTAAATTTATTGACACGGCTTTATTCATTATTTACTTTTTATCTTCTCTTGACTCTGTAGTGATGCTTCCTCTATCATTTTTGATATTGATAATTTGTGTCTCTGTCTTTTCCTGATCCGCCTGACCTGACTAGAGGTGTATTAATTTTATTGATTTTTCTCAAAGAACTTGCTTTTGGTTTGTGTTTCTGTTTCCTGTGTCATACATTTCTGTTCTTATGTTAATCATCCTTGATAATGTTTGTGTTAAATTTGTTCTTCTTTTCCTAATTTTTGAAGATAGAAATAGCGGTCATTGCTCTGTGGCCTTTTTTCTTTCTAATATACATGCTTAGTTCTGTAAATCCCTTCTTGCGCGTCAGCAGCATCCACAAGTAATGATAGATTGTTTTTGTCTTCATTCACAACACAATATTTTCTGAATTCCCCTTTTAATGTCTTCTTTTATCCACGGGTATTTAAGAAGTATGTTTAGTTTCCAAGTGTTTGGGGTTTTCCAGGCATGATTTCTGTTATTAAGTTCTAATTTAACTCCACTGTGGTCAGAGAACCTACTGTGGGTAATTTGGACCCTTTAATATTTTTGTGGCTTGTTTTATGCTCAACTTAGGGTATATCTCGTCAAATGTTCCGTGTGTGTGTGTGGAAAAAGTGTACATTCTTCTGCCATGGGGGGAATGTCACATAAACGTCCGTAAGATGAGGCTGCCTGGCATGTTTAATCCTCCACACCCGACTGATTCGATGCATATTTGCTCCATCACTGTTGAGAACGGGATGTTGACCTCCCCAGCCATCCCTGGGTGCGTCTTGACTGTTCTGTGGCTCTGTGGGTTTTGTCTCGTGTATTTTGCCGCGATGTTAATCAATGTACAGACATTTAGGTTTCACACCCTCTTCATGAACTAGCCGCCGCCTCTTTACGGAACGGCCCGCTGTAGCTCTGGTCACACTCCCAGGATGAACTCCACCTTTTTCTGATTTAATCTCACCATGCCAACCTTCTTTGGATACTAAGAGATGGTTTTTCCATCCTTTCTTTTTAACTCACCATTTTCTTTTCATTTAAAGTGGGTTTCTTGGAGGAAGCGTATTTTGAATGCTGAATTTTCATTTAATCAGATGATCTTTTTCTTTTAGTTGGGGGTGTTTAGATACTTAATGTGATTATGGATATGGTTGGGTTGAAATATACTATCTTGCTATTTCTTTTTTATTTTTCCTATCTGTTCTCTCTTCCCTTTCTTTCTGTGTTTTTTGGATTAAGGGGCTGCTTATGATTCCATTTCATCTTCTTCATTACGTATTTGCTATAAACTCAGGGGGGTTGTTTGTTTTTCTTGTTTTGTTTTTATTGATTACTTGAGGATGTATAGTTTATAACTTTATCACAGTCTATCTTCAAGTAATATTATACCACTTTCTCTAGAGGATGGAGCCTTTATATACTTTGCTTCCATCCCTCCCTCTCATCTTTGGTGCTGTTATTCATTTCACATTTAGGTTATAAAACCCCATACCATTATTATTTTCCTTTGCTCTAAACTTTTTGCTCAAAAACATTTTAAAGAGATTTTGAAAATAAAGGAGTTTTAAGTGTTTATCCGTCTTTTCACTGTTTTCAGAGCTGTCTCTTTCCTTGGCCTCGCACACAGGCGGCGGCCGTCTTCCTGCCGAGGGCTCTGCAGATCTCGGAGTGGCCGTTCCTTGCAGCTCTCTCCTTCCGGGCGAACCGCCCTGCACGTTGCAGCTGTCGGTTTCCCCAGACTCCAAACTGCCTGTCCTCAACTTGGGGAGACCCCTGGGCTCTTCCCGCCCCCCCCAACAATGTTGTGACCTGGAAACTCCCCAGGGAGTAAAAGCCGGGGGGGCCGCCGTGGCACTCACCAGCCAACCCCTCTTTCAAGGATCCCCGTCCTGCGCGACGGGCCGGTCAGTGTTTGAAACCCTCATTTCATGTGTTTTTCTCTGGTTTACAGTTGTCTCAGCTGGAAGGACAAATCTGGTCCTTGTTACTTCATCTGAGATGGAAGCAAAAGTCCAATCTATTTATTTTTAATTTTGATATTGAAGTGCCACATACATGCAGAAAACTGCACATACCACAAGTGTAGGGCTTGGGGAAGTTTCACAAACCGAGCATGTCTGCACAGCCAGCACTCAGTCACAGAATGCGGTCACCCCCGAATCCCAGCCGAGGCCAGGGCCTTCCGCGCTCCCCCTCATTGCTCTCCACAGTCTGATCCGCACTCTCCCTCATTGCTCTCCACAGTCTGAGTGATTAACGGAGAGGCTGGCTGTTCACTACACATCTGGTCTCCTCCTTTGAACAGATGTTTGTGGGGGCAAGAACGGCATTAAGTTCGTCTTCCCTGTGTGTTGGCACCAGGATACTGGCACATAGCAGGTATTTTATAAATAGTTTTGAGTGTTTATATATATACATACATATTTTATTTTTGACAAGGCCTCACTCTGTTGCCCAGGCTGCAGTGCAGTGGTGCCATCTCAGCTCCCAGCCTCCTGAGTGGCTGGGACCACAGGTGCACGCCACCATGCCCGGCTAATTTTAAAATTTCTTGTAGAGATGCACTCTCGCCATGTTGCCCAGATTGGTGAGTGTTTATATTCTGTAAATATCTTTGAGTGAATAAATGCCTAGAAAAATGTTGCAACATTTGATGGTTATTTTTTGATAGGAGCTAACATTGTTTCATCTGAAAAATACATATTTCCTTTTTAAAATTAGACATAAGGTGGCTAAGGGCAGTCCTTACCTGGTTCTTCTTTATGGAGGCGATTCCACAGCATCTGAAGAGAAAATTCTCGTGACACAGAGGAAATTGTGCCTTCATCAAACACAGAGAGGCCTTCCAGTGGCAGCTCCAGGAGAGGTCTGTCTGCGACCAGGATGATCTTATCCACAACCTCGGGCTGGACTGTGTCTGGGAAACAGCCGTGCAGGGAGATCAGCTCCTGAAGACGGGACCCCTCCCACGGGGCCGCAAGGCTCCGTCTGCTGACTTGGCTGCTGGGCGCTGGGAAAGGCTGGCAGCCCGCCTTGACTCCACGCCACCTTCTCCTCCAGATGCCCCAGAACGGGGTGAGGAACCGCCTCCCATCACGCCTGTCCCTCCACACGATTCGTTTTGTTAGCAAGCACGCGTGGTGTGGCGGGGCTGCCGATCCACCTCGCGAGGGAGCTGTGCTGGGTTCCGTGGTGCTCTCAGGGGGCTTGGCACAGAGCCTCCTACCCGGAGCCTCCTATCCGGAGAGGCACGGACCCTCCGACCCAGTCCGTGGCTGTGCACAGAACCTTCCAGGGACCCCATGCGCAGGGAGGCCTCAGAGGGAGGGGCTGCAGGGCCTGTGGGGCTCCTGGGCTCCTGACCCCCCTTGGCGTTCCTGGATGGGTGAGTGGATCCCGACCCCACCTCTCCTGGCGGGACCAGCTCCCCGCGCTGAGTGGCCGCACCCGCCCCACTCACTGTGTTGTCCTGTGGACATTTTCCTCTCCTTGTCTTTGCCCTTCGACTTCCCTGAATCAGCAACGACCACGGGCATCTGCACTCTGAAAGTCAGGTGATATATTCGAAAACAGATAACAAACGCTTGGAATACAGGCGACCCCTCCTCAGCCTGTTTCACGCTAAGGCAGCAGCGCCACGAATCCCCACGCTCACTCCTGGGATGGTCCCACTGAGGTGGGGCCGGGATGAGCCACAGGATTTCGGGATCATCTCTGATCCACCAGCCGAGCTAAACGGTGCCAGGTATCTGTCCCCTCTGCCTTCCTTCCCACCCCAAATCAAAGGAGCCCGGGCGGTCCCTCGGAGGTGCTTGCCGTCCCACCCCACGCTTGGGCCGGGGGCTGGAGGGGCCGTGGGGAGTGGGCAGTGGGCAGTTCTCCTCCAGGCAGGAAGGGAGGCAGATCCAGGAAGAACTGCTTCCTGGGAGCAGGCGGGCGGCGCGGAGTCTGGAACAAAGGTGGCCGAGAAGGCACAGCAAGCACACGTGGTTGGCCACGGCACTGGACACACGTGTCCATGCGTGAGTGTGGTGGGGAGCCGGCGGCAACGTCATCCCTGGTACCTGGCCTCGGAGAGGCTGAGCAGGGGGAAGAGCGGCTGCAGAAGCTCCTCCAGGGGCCCCAGGATGCTGCTGAGCCTCTGCACAGGGCACTCCTTCTCCTCCACCTGGAGGCCTTCTGGCTCCTACTCAACCCAAACAAGAGGCCCCCATAGCAAAGAGGGCGCATGGCCCAGACCCCACGAGGGCCAGGCCCCGGCGGAAAGGCCGAGCTCCTGCCCCTTCTGCGAACAGCGTGGTGGACAAGGGCGCCCGGCTCGGTAATGAGGGCCCCACAGCACCTGGCCCATCCTCTGGAGGGTCACCCTGAGACCCCAGCCCCCACCCGTCTCCTCTGCCCGCACCACAGAGGGTCCCTCCCCTTTGTCTGCACTTCAGGGATCAGGCATGGCCAAGGAGTCCAAGGAGTGAGTTCTCCCCCGACAGGGAACTTGGCCTGGGAGTTGGGCAGTGCCTGGGTGTCGGGATGGCCCAAGCCCTTCAGCAGCCTGGCCTAGTGCCCCGCCCCTTGCCCCACCTCGCTGGGGTCCTGGCTCTCAGGGATGGGGGCAGAGGGTCCTGGCAGGGTGGCTTGGAGTCTGGAGGGCCTCACCGAGCCTGCGTTCAGGGCCATGTCCTCGCTGTACACCTGGGCCTGGGTCTGCTTCCGGAACTGCTGGGCACAGGCCAGCAGGTGGGAGAAGGCGGTGGGACTCATGGCCAGACGCATCACCTTGCAGAAGCCTGCGGGAACGTGGACACACCCTCTGTTGCTGCCCAGGCCTGAGGACGGCAGCTGGACCGTGCGTGGTGGGCAGTGGGAAAAGGGCTGCTGTCTCGCAAGAAAGGCTGCATGGATGGAAGTCCCTCCCGCCGTGTGGGGTCCCCTGGCCGGACGCTGTGGAGCGGCTGCCGCATCATTGTGCAGCCAGCGATGGGCCTCCTGAGCCCCAGGGAAGCACACGCCCCGTCTACATCTGTTTCCAGAACGTCACAGGCTCTACAGACCCCTCCATCCCTGTGGGTGGAGGGCGGGGAGAGGCCACGCCTCCGGGACCCCAGGGGCTCCCTGGTGGGCCTTCAGTTTCTGAAAGGAAAGGGCCCTTGTGCAGGGAGCTCTGCGGCGCAGTGGGCATCAGCGCTGCTCCCGCCCCTAGTCCCGCCCCCTCCCATCCCGCCCCCATGCTCCCCTCCCCTCTCCGCTCCCCTCCCCCCTCCGCTTCCCTCCTGCCCACCTCCCCTCCCCCACCGTTCCCCTCCCCCATGCTCCCCTCCTGCCCCACTCCCCTCCCCCCTCTCCCATCCCTGCTCCCGCCACCTCTCACCCCCTGCTCCCCACCCCTGCTCCCACCTCCCCCCCCTCCCCCTCCTACCCTGCTCCCCTCCCCCTCTGCTCCCCTCCCCCCTCTTTTGCTCCCCCCCGCCCCCATTCCCCTCCCCACTCTCGCCCCTGCTCCCTGCACCCTCCCGCTCCTCCTCCCCCTTCCCTCCATCTTTCCTCCTGTGTCCTCCGCACCCCACATGGAGACATACATGTACAGACACATGGATGCATGCGCTGCACCTTTCCTTTGGCTGCAGTAATGAACTTGGGTTTCTCATAGGCAGCACCGTATAGACAGGACCTGCTGGCAGGACGCGGGCCAGGGTCGCAGGCAAGCCACGATGGAGACACACCTCACAGCCCAGCTCCAGTGACCTCAGAGGAGCCCAGTGAGGCCCACTCTGCAGACCACGCACCCCCAGCAGGGCCCTCCCCGTGTGTGCCTCCAGGGGTACAGCTGGGTGTGCATGGCCAGTCAGGACCTGGACTGAGAACAGGCTGGATCATGCACCGGGCAACTGGCCACAGCCAGTGACTTCTGTGGTCACTGCCAGTGGCACCGCCGGCTGGCTGCAGGCCAGTGGGAGCAGGAGAGGGCAGCCATCCTGCTCTCCACTCTGCTGTCACAGTGACCTTCAGGTCAGGACGCCCAGACCAGACACAAAGGCCCTGTACGGGAGACAGGTCGAAGGAGGGAGTGTGCCGCGCCCCTGGACCGCCCCCGCCCTGTGTCATTGGTAGCTGGTGTCTGTCTGTCCGGCACCTTCTCAGGACCAGCTGGAGTCCCAGGCCTCCCTGGGGTGGGGCTGAGGTGTGGGCAGCCCACGGCTGGGTCTCTGCCTCCCTGAGGCCTCTCAGCGGGCTGGGGACGACCTCAACAGGAACGAGCGTCTTTACCTGTCCCGTGAGAGGTGCAGAAAGAGGACCCGAAAGGTAGGAGGCATCTCATTCAAGAGGTTAAAGTGCTGTTCAGTGACGCAGAGATTTTGCCAAGCCTGAGTGGTGAAAAACGGCTATCAGGGGACGCATTTAGGACGCAGGGACGTCGCTGTGCTGTTCCCTTGTTTCCAGGAGACCTCGCGGCAGAGCCAGAGCGGGGCTTTGTGCCTTTCCTGCCCCGGGCTGGGGCCTTCGGGGTTCGGGGGGCCCTGCTGGGAGTGACTCGGGGATGGCACCAGGGGGCAGCAGAGGCACGCACGAGTCACCGGCGGCCCCAAAATGTCATTTATCTCCGGTTGTTAATGTTTAGAAACCTGATTTGCATGACGCGAAGTGCATGTTCGCCAAACCCAAAATAACAAATGGAAAATTCTCCAGCGCCTCCTCCGTGAGTGGTGCCTTTCCCTCCATCTTTCCTCCTGTGTCCTCCGCACCACACATGGAGACATACATGTACAGACACATGGATGCATGCAGACACACGTGTGCACAGACGCACACTCATGCAGACAGGCATGGACACACACACACACCCGTGCACAGACACACACACACAGACATGCACGGACACAGACACGCACATGTACACAGACGCACACACTCACGCATACAGGCACGGACACACATGGACACACACACATACACAGCGCAGACTCAGAGCTGTGCCCCCACACTCCCCCGGGGAAGGCCCTCTCTTCCTGGCCCAGGGATGCCAGTCGGCTGTGGTCAGGCGGTGCAGGCGGCGTCTCTAGCCCATCCCCTCCTGTGGACTATGAGTCTGTCTAATACCAGACCGGGCACGCGGTTCAGGCTCCTCACCACCAGCAGCAGGCGGCCACCACAGCCCCTGAGGGCCAGCCAGAGGGCTCCTGGAGGCCTGGGCCTCTCCGCAAGGGCAGCCCTCCCTCTGTCGAGCTGTGAGGCTTGTGGTTCTGAGTCATAGCTTCAAGTTTGCACAAACAAAGCAGTGTTTACAAAACTTATTATCAAAGTAGAATATACAGAAAGTGGTGTAAAAGCCCATGCGTGAAAAGCTTGATGGACTTTTGCAGTGGGCACACCGTGTGGCCAGGCAAAGAGACAGGACATTGCTGGCCAGTGGCCCTCCTCCCCACAAGGGGACCACAGCAGATTCCAGCAGCTCGGGCGGGCTTTTCTGCTGGGCCTCTGGCTTGCGCTGTGGGCTTCACCCAGGTGGAGCGTGGGGCTGACCCTCCTCGCCGCAGACACCGCAGCTGGGAACGCCACAGCTTCTTCACAGCTTCTTCATCCCTTCTGTGGCCGAGGGCATCTGGGTGGCTTCCTGTCGTTGGGGGTCATGAGCGATGCTGCTCTCTGGGGACCCCAGCGAAGCATTTCTACCGGGCGCGGAGTCAGGTGTGGACGCGCAGCGTCAGCTACAGCGATTCCGCCAGAACTCTGCCCGGGCTGCTGCGCCCAGGGGTGGGCATGAGGCCCAGGGAGCCTCAGCTGCCCCCTTCCCCGTCTCATCTCCACGGCCATGTCCTCCTTTTCCACAGGAGCCAATCTGGTTGGTGTCTGGTTATCTGCGTCCGGCTTCAATTTTGCATTTCCCTGACTAATGAACTTGAGCACCATTAAAATCGTTTATTGGCCACACGAATCCTACTTTTGTGAGATTCCAACCTCATGCCATCTTCTATCAGTGTCTCCTTTTCTTATTTAAAAGGGACCCACACCCTCCCCCACGTGGGACGCACGTGTGTCAGGCAACCTAGTGTCAAGGTTCTCATTCTCTGTGGCTGCCCCTCGACTCTCGGCAGGGCATTTTTGATGAACAGAACTTCTGAATTTTAGCCCGCGGTCTGATTTGTCATTTTTCCCCTGTACGGCTCCTACCCTGTGTCTCCCGTGGCCACAGGCGAGTGGCGTAGCCCCAGGTCCCCACAAGGGACACAGCCCTGGGCCACCTGCCAGGCCATCTCTGTGGAAAACTATGTTGCTAATAGCTCAGGGGAACCAGGCTAAGACCTCACCGGGGGAGGAAGAGGCTCCGTGAACCCTCGGCCACAGAGAACGGGTGGCTTCACAGCACGGAGCCTCTCGGCCCGCACTCAGGAACAGCACCCGAGTTCTTCAGTCTCTTGGTTCTGTATTTTCTTTTCAGTCTTTCTGCATTTTCTTTCTTTTTCTAGTCATTTTGTACTATATTCAATACAAGCGCCAATCGGGCGCACATTTCCACTCTTGCGGAAAACTTTTCAACGTTGTACCATTAAATACGATGCATACTAGGGCTGTAGAGAGATTCTTCATTGGATTAGGGACATTTGTTTCTATCTCAATTTTAAAAATCATGAGTGGATGTTGGATTATGAAAGATACCTTTTTGCACCTGTCAAGGCGATCTTACGATTTGTCTCCTTTTCCTTCTGTCAATGTGCTCAATGATATTGAACCCCATGGGACACAACCACTTGGCACCAACGTGCGCCCTTTACAACTGCTGGATTTTATTTGCTGTATTCTGTTAGGATTTTTGTGTAATAGTGATGAGAGAGCTTTTCCTTTCTTGTAGTGTCCCTGCTAAGTTTCCAGTGTCAATGTTCACCTAGCCTCTTAGTAAAAGAGGAAGTTTTTTGCTTTATTTCTATGAGTTTTCAAAGTGGTTATTTCTTCTTTCAGTTTTTGGAAGAATTTACTGGTGAAGCCAGTGGGGTCTGGGTTTTCTTTGTAGCAACATTTTAAATAAAAGATTCGATTTATTTGACAGACATTGAATCATTTGGATTTTCTACGCTTCTGTCGGCTTTGCTGAGCTGTGCTTTTTTGAGGACTTGGTCCGTTTGGGTCCATTGTCGCCTGTATTGGAGTAAGGCTGTAAAGAACTTTCTGTGTGAACTCTCAACACCTGCATCATCTCAGTGATGGGTCTTTTTCTTGCTCACATTGGAAACTCGCCTTTTCCCTTTTTTTCTTGAGCAGGGATTTCTCCATTTCATTGTCTTCTCTTTGGAACCAACTTGTGCCTTGGATTTCCTTTGCTGGTTTTGACTTCGCTGTTTCTTGTGCTGTATTGATTTGTCCTCTTTCATTTTTCTTAGATGTAATTTATTGTTGTTGTCCAGCTTCTCGAAATCAAAGCTTAAATCAAGGTTTTTTCTGGCTTTCTTCTTGTATTCAAGGCTGTATTTTTCCTGTAACCTGTTTGAGCTAAGTCGCGTAAATTTTTATTTGTAGTATTTCCATTCACTAAGTCAGTTTAAATCTAAGTCAGTTTAAAGTGTTTTCTGAATTCCACTGTGACTTCTTCCTTGACTAATTTGATCATCATAAGTAACTGTTTAATTTCAAGGCGCCCGTGTTTCTCACAGGTCCATTTTTGTTACTGATTTCCCACTTTACGTCACCGAGGTTGGAAAACACGCTCTGAGTGACCTCGGTACTGGGGATCTCTGCTGTGGCTATGTGTGGCCCAGCAACGGTTGCTTTCAGCCACGTCTGGTGAGGGCCTTCTCGCAGGTGGGGATGCCACAGAGTCCAGGGCGGTGTAGGGCATCCCATGGCGAGGGGCTGAGTGTGCCAGCTCAGGTCTCTCCTCCTCTTGTTATAAAGCCACCAGTCCCGCTCCCAGGATAACCCCTGAATCTAAAACCATTAATTAGATCGACCCATTCATGAGTTTTGGAGGGAACATTCAAACCATAGCATTCTGCCCCCAAGACTCATGTCCTTATCATGTACAAATACATTCCTACAAAACCCATGCTCCCAAAGTCTTAACTTGTTCCAGCAGCAACTCAAAAGTCAGAGTCTTATCTATGAGCCTGTGAAATCAAAACAAGTTCTCTACTTCCGACATACAGCAGTGGAACCGGTTGAGATGTTCCCACTTGAAAACAGGGGAACAGGCAAAAAGAGAGGAGTGGAGGCTCCAAGCAAGCCCCCACCCCACAGGGCTGACGTGACCCTAAATTCAGGGAACGGGCTCTTCCAACAGCACCTGCTACCTCCGGACACATGGGCTGGGGGTTGGGCCTCCCCGACGGCTTTGCTGGGTGCAGCCCACACGGCTGCTCTTCCAGGTTGGAGTCTGGTGCCTGAAGCTTCCCGAGCTGCCAGTGACTCCACAGCTCTGGGGTCCTGGCGGGGGTCCTGTTCCCGTGGCTGCACTAGGCTTTGTTCTGCTGGGCCCTCTGTGGTGGCTCCATCCCTGGGGCGAGTCTCTGCCCGGGCCCCCAGACTTTCAATGGCATCCTTTGAAATCTGGATGGAGGCTGCCAAGTCTCCATCTTGCTCTCTGCAAGCTTGCAGAATCAGTGCCACGTGGCCATGGCCAATGCTATGTCCACATCTTGAGCTGTGGGTCTATCTGCACTGGAGCTGCCTGAGCCACCGCTGGGGCTGCCATGGACGGCTGCACTGGAATTTAGGGAGCACGGTCCTCAGCAGGCCCGGGGCAGGGAGCCTGTGGAGGGCACCTCTGGCCCATCCACCAGAACAGTTCTGCCCTCCATGGCCTCCAGGCTGGCAACGGGAGGGCAGCCTTGAAGATCTCTGAAATGCCTTCTGGGTGTTTCTTCCACTGCCTTGAAGAACAGCACCCAGCCCCTTCTCTCTGTATGGACTTTTGGTGAATGGTCAGAGCCTTGGCTCCTCTCCTGGGCACACCTTTCACTCTTTGCGTGGCCAGGCTAAGAGCTTCCAGATCCTTCCACTTGCTTTTCTTCTGATGATAAATTCCATCTCCGAGTTATTTTTTCCCTTTTGCAGCTCAGTGTAGTGGCTGGAAGTAGCCACGCAGCAGCCTAATTATTTGCTGCTTGGATATTTATTCTACCAGATACCCTTGTTCACCACTCTCAAGTTCAGCCTTTGACAAAGCTGTTCCACATGGACAGTTCAGCCAAGGTCTTTGCTAATTTATGACGAGGCTGGTCTTTATTCTAGGTTTTAATACCTTGCTCCACAGTTCCATCTGAAATCTCATCAGAATGGCCTTTCCGGTCCATATTTCCATCAGCGTCCTGGTCATGACCACTTAACGGATCTCTAAAGAGTTCCAAACTTTCCCTTGTCATTTTGTCTTCCAGGCAGACCCTCACCAGAATCACCCTCAATGATCCATTTACAGACATACCGGGTTTTTAAAAGCCTTCTCCTCCAAATGCTTTCAGCCTCTGCTTATTACTCAGTTCCAAAGCTGCTTCCATAGGTTCAAGTATTCATTATTGTCAACCACCCCACTCCTGGTACCAATTTTCTTAGTCCATTTCCATTTGTTTATAACAGAATATCTGAAACTGAATAATTTATGAAGAAAAGGAGACTATTTCTTACAATTCTGGAGGCTGAGAAGTCCAAGGTCAAAGGGCTGCATCTGATGAGGACCTTCTTGCAGGTGGGGTCTCTGTAGAGTCCCGAGGTGGCCCAGGATGCCACACGGTGAGGGGGCTGTGTTAGCCCAGGTCTTTTCCTCTTCTCATAAAGACATCAGCCCACTCCCATGATAACCATAATCCATTAACTTATTAGTCAGCAAACGGGCTGATCCATTCATGAACCCTCATGACCCAGTTACCTCGTACAAGCCCCACCTCTCAATACTGCCACCTTGAGCATTGTTTCAACACGAGGTTCAAGGGGGACAAATGTTCAAATCATAGCACCCTTGCTTTGTCTTTTCCAATTTTCCCCTCAGACGGGGTCTTTTCTTCTGTCCGTTTCTCAGTCACAGATTCAACCTTGGGCTGCATTCACTTTTCCCTGAAACCCCCAAATTGAGCCCTTCATTTAGGAGAGCACATATGGGATGCTGCAGGGGACACTATGTCCTGGAGGCTGCATCCTCTCCAGGCACCACAAGACCACAGCTGATTTCACTGCCTTCCAGAAGCTTCCAGGGAACAACCCTAAGGCCCAGGACCTGGTGGGCGTTCCCACGGTGCCCTGGGGCTGCTCCTGGTGGGTGTTCCCAGGGTGCCGTGGGGCTCTGGTCTTGGTGGGCGTTCCCAGGGTGCTGTAAGGCTCTGGTCTCGGTGGGCGTTCCCAGGGCGCCGCAGGGCTCTGGTCTCGGTGGGTGGTCCCAGGGCGCCGTGGGGCTCTGGTCTCGGTGGGCGTTCCCAGGGCGCCGTAAGGCTCTGGTCTCGGTGGGCGTTCCCAGGGTGCTGTAAGGCTCTGGTCTTGGTGGGTGGTCCCAGGGCGCCGTGGGGCTCTGGTCTCGGTGGGCGTTCCCAAGGCACCGTGGGGCTCTGGTCTCGGTGGGCGTTCCTAGGGTGCCGCAGGGCTCTGGTCTCAGTGGGCGGTCCCAGGGCGCCGTGGGGCTCTGGTCTCGGTGGGCGTTCCCAAGGCGCTGTAAGGCTCTGGTCTCGGTGGGCGTTCCTAGGGTGCCGTGGGGCTCTGGTCTTGGGTGTTCCCAGGGCGCCGTGGGGCTCTGGTCTCGGTGGGTGGTCCCAGGGCGCCGTGGGGCTGCTCCCAGCTGCAGCACAGTGACCTCTCCCCTCCTGGCTCCAGGCTTGCTCCTTCTCCTCCTCGCAGAGCCTCTGTTGACACCAGTCCCAGCCAATCTCCGAATAGCCCAGTGGCCCCGGGATGGAGAGTGAGGGTTGACTCACTGCAGCAGATGCTCTCAGTGCAAAAATTTTAGTTTAGCAAGTTCTCATTGCTTCCATGGCTGATAACTTTACAAATATGAGGTTCCACCATTCACCAGCCTTTCCCGAGGATGCTCCAGTGGGCCTGCTGTGGCCTGTGACATTCCCCAGCCAGACTGCAATGAGTCTGTGCCTGGCTGAGAGTCGGTGCAGCTTTTCCATGAGAATTCCTGCAACAGCAGGGCCTGAGGAGTGGTGACCCCCATCATGGTGACTGACGGCTCCCACGTGCCAAGCCCCAGGCCAGCTCCTGGCCCTGCACACAGTCCTGCATACACACTGGTGTCCTTGGTCCCCAAAGCTCCTATGGGGTGAGCTCTGCCTGGTCTGCAGCCATGGGGGAGGGAGAGCCATGACTCCCATGCCCAGCTTACCCACAGCAGGTGCTCTGGTGCCAGCCTGGCAGCTCACTCCTCACCTGTCCAGTAAGTGCTGCCTGGGGCAGCCCATTTTTTTTTAGATGGGGTCTCACTATGTTGGTCAGACTGGGCGTCAGTGGCTATTCACAGGCACTATCATGGCTCACTGCAGCCTCGAACTCCTGGGCTCAAGTGATTCTCCCGCCTCAGCCTCCTGAGTAGCTGGGACTATAGGTGCATGCCCCCATGCCCAGTTTAGACCACAGGCACGCACCCCTGCACCCAGCTTAGACCACAAGTGCCGCCCACATGCCCAGCTTGGACCACAGGCGCCCCCCGCATGCCCAGCTTAGACTACAGGCGCCCCTAACGCCCGGCTTAGCCCATTTTCATTCCTGCTTGCCATGCACACCCTCCTGGACCCAGCTCAGCTCCGGCAGGGCCATGTGCATCAGCGTCTTCCTCCAGACACAGGGCCAGCCTGTGCCACCTTCTCCTGTCCTCGGGCCTGGGCTGGGCCTGCAGGCCTCTTACCTCCGCCCTCCATCCTCTCAGCTTCAGAAGGACGGCAGCTTTCCAGGTTTCAACCTGTGGGTTGAGTCACTGGTTCTCACCCGGGGCTGTGTTGTTCCCACTGGCGATGTCTGCAGACATCTCTGGATGCCACAATGGCAGGGGTGCTCCTGCCACCCAGTGGCGGATGCTGCCCCCATCCCACCCTCACCAGCAAAGCACTGTCTGCCAAACAGCCCTGGACAAGGGGATATTTGGTCAGGTCCACCCCAGCGAGAGGACCAGGGAGGCAGCCACGCAGCCAAAGGAGGGAGGGGCCCCATCAGGCCACACTTGTCTGTTTCCCACAATTCAAGAAATGTCATCAAGTCTTTTTTCTTTAAATACTGCCATTCGCACCTGCTAATCCAAATAAAAGGTGCCATTAGCTATCCTGCTCTACAGAAATGTTTCTCAAGATTAAACCCTCAGACTGGACCAAGGTGTAAAATATTTCCTTAAACAGAGGCAGGGAACATGCAGCTCCGATCCACATGAGGCCCTCAGGGCACTGCTGGCCCGTCTGTTGGTCAGCTCTTGGCTGCAGGCCTGGCTGTGCGTTTGTAGTTGTGACCTCGCCAACCTCACCGCACCCACCAGGTGGGCCGTTACTACCCCCACAAGGGCCAGGAGGACACTGAAGCTTGGAGAGGCCGGGCGACCCAGGCGCACATGGCTGGGGACACGGGGAGGGATGGCTTATGAGCTGGGGGGTGAGCAAGGCTGCCCTCGCTCAGGCGTGGGACTGTGTGGCTGTGGTGTCTGTCCACAGAGCTCCAGAGCCGGGGGCAGGTTCAGTGTCATCCCTGCCCGCTTACCTTGGACACGGCAGCCAGCCTCTGCTCCACACTGGCACCCAGGCTGGTGGTGGTCCTGTCCTGGCACCGGAGCCGGTGCTGTAGCTGCAGCAGGGCCGCCAGCTGTGAGCTGCTGGTGTTGGCCGTGGCTGCAAGCAGGACATCCCTCATTGTCTCCGAGGCCGAGCAGCTCTGAAAGGGAGCAGGGGAGGTATGACAGGGGCCCAAGGCCTGGGCGGGGAGGCCTTGCACCCTGCAAAGGGCGTGCAGTGGCTGCAGCCTGGGAGCAAGAATGGGCTCCCCTGGGATGCTGGCTCCTCCTGGCACCTGGAGAGTTGCGTGAGGCCACACTTGTTCCCTCTGTGGGACCTCTGTGAGGTCCGCACGGACAGGGCCCTGCTGGCCTGTGACTGCTGGGTCTCCATGTCTGCCTGATGCAGGGGTTCGGGGATAAGCACACGAATGCGTGTTCTCTCTGAGCCACAAGTTTACATGGTCGGCAGACTCCCACTGTTTGAGGACCCCGGCCTGTGGCCTGTTTCTCTAACGGCGTCCCCCCAAGGCGAGGGCCCCAGCTGAAGCCCAGGGTCCTCCCTCCTCTGTGAAGGCCTGGCTGGAGGTGCGTGGGGCAAAGACACACCTGAGACAGAGCCAGGAACTGGCAGGTGGTTGCAGGGTCCAGGGTGCCGACGCATTCCACCATCTCCAGGCTGGCGGCTGCTGCGACATCCAGGAGGCCACTGCCAAGGGCCACCTGTAGGCACTGCAGCAGCACCTCTGATGCCTGAGCCAGGTACTGCTGGGCCAGAACCATCCTCCCCTGTGGGGCACAAGGCTCGGGCTCAGGCCGGGCTCTGGGCAGAGGCCACACGAGGCTTGGGAGGGGCAGCCGCACCTTCAGGTCCTCGCCTCTCCTGCCGTGCTCCTCTGGGGCTGCCCTGGAGGCCAGCGGGTCCCTGCTGGACTTTGTGGCACCCTCTTCCTCGACCTCCAGCTCCAGAGACTTGAGGCCGCTCAGCTTGGCGCCCACCTGTGAGACACACAGCAGGTTGGCTGGCACTTCTGCGTTCCTGCTTGGCCAGCGTGGGGAGGGCCCACCCAGGGAGGCTGGGGGGGTTGGGCTCCTCAGCAGGGTCCCTGGGTGGCGGGCACTGCAGGCTGCAGCGTGGCCTCTCACTGTCCCAAACTCTCCACCCCTGAGTTGATGCAGGGTGGCCCTGTACCGCGAGCCTGGGTGAGGGGACGCTGCAGCCAGGGTGAGAACGCAGCCCCCCCAAGGAAGCCGGCCTGAGTCACATGGGCCTGGAATCCAACACATTCCCAGGGGACTCCCGTTCCTGTCCTTTGGAAACACCTTTCCTGGAACCAGCCGGCACCGAGGCCGAGGCATCCACCGGCCCTCAGGGGCCCCCGGTCTGGCCAGGACACAAGCCCCAACCTGGGGATAGGAAGCCCAGGCAGCCCCTGAAGAACGGGGTTGAGAGGGAGCCCCCTGGGTTTTCAGGTCACGAGGTATCGCAGTGCCAAATCTGTGTATGCACCCATTGATTAGGTGTCAAAACAAAGAAAACATTGATAGAAATGGAGTGATGGAGAAGCCCCTGGTTCTAGTAGGCTGCCCAAATGCAGGTGAAAACCAGCAAGCACGCTGGAGGCAGTGCAGCCGTGACCACCTGACCCGCACACGGCCTGGCCCCTTTCACATCGGAACACGCCGTTCAGGCATGTGCAGGACGTTTACCAAAACCGACCAGGCTGGGCCACGTGCAGCCACTGCAGAGTCCCCAGGACCAAGACCACTCAGGGTGTGTTTTCAACCACAACAACATTCAACTGGAAGTCAGTCGTGAAAACAGACCCGTGAAAAACACAGTCACCTTGAAATTAAACAAGATACAATCATCAAGTCAGTCAAAGAAGAAATTGCAATGGAATTTATAAAATGGACTTAGAGAATGAAAATACTGAAGGAGGAGAAAAGGAAAAGTCAGTGAGGCTGACAGCCAAGGCTGGTCCTTCGAGAAACAGCCTGAAATGTCACCGCCACAGGCACAGAGGGCCGCCGGGGAAAACCAAACTGCAGTGCACGGGTGAGCAGGAGGGGCCCAGCAGAGAAGCCTCCGTTCTCAGGTCGTCAGCCGGCTCCGGGAAATGTTTCCTCCCCTTTTCAGACATGAACACGGTGGGCTCCGAGGGAGCCTGCGTGGGTTGTGGGAGGGGTGGGGGCTTATCCAACGCACCCACAGCTGCACAAACAAGAAAGGCTGCGCTTTGTGCTCCTTACGGACACGCCTGCAGCGGCACAGATAAGGAAGCCACAAGAACAGCAAAAGAGAGGAGCACACTTTCTTATCAGAGCGTTCGGATTCAACTGTGAAAACGGCCACCCATTGGGGCCCTCTCCGCTGCAGAGCTTTCTTCCTTCACTTGCTAAACTTTTGCTGCAACCTCCCTGTGTCCACGCCCCTTAATTTTCTGGGTTCTGAGACAATGAACAACGAGCTTGGATAACACCTTAGACAATGTGACCAGCAACCCTAGACCGTGTCAATCCTACGTATCAAAATCTGGGAGACTGAAATGGGGGTTAGAGGAAAAATACAGCCTTGAATACAAGAAAAAAGCCAGAAAAACCTTCATTTAAGCTTTGATTTCAAGACGCTGGACAACAACATAAATCACATCTAAGGACAGCAAAAGGCAGGTACGTCCGGGCCTGGCCTGCATGGGGCGGGGGCCGCGGAAGACCCCTGTGTGCTCCACACGGGACTTGATGTCTGCTCTGCCCGGGCCCCTCCTCGCTGGGGAACCATCAGCAGCGTTCACAGATGAGGACGCCAGCGCCCAGGCGGCCATGCCAACCCTCGCTTTGGTCCACGCCCAGCTGCTACCCGAGCACATCAATGGAGGCTGGTTGCACCGAGAGCCACAACTCCATCCATTCACTTGAGGTACGTCAAGTCCTGTGCTCGGTCCTGAAGACGCAGGACAGACAGCATCTCAGGGCTGACCCAGGGCTGCACGGCACCTGGTGGGGGAATGGCCCTGGGCGTGCAGCCAGGCACACACAGCGTGGTTGCTCTGGTCCCTGAGGGCGTCTTCCTGAGGAGCCGGTGTGTGGGGACAAGCCCAGGTTCTCTGCTGCGGCAGGTGCCTTCCAGGGGAGGAACTGGCATCTGCACAAGTGTTTAGGAAGGTGACTTGAGGCTTTCAGGGCTTACTGGGGCCGTCACCAGGGTCGTGAGGCAGTAGGTCACTCCTGCAGCTGACTCGGCCCTGCCGGGCAGCCTTGCAGCCTTCTGGAGAAGGGTGGGCCCTGGGCTGAGGGTGAAGAAGGTCCCAACTGCCCTTCTCAGAGCCACCTGGGCGCTGAGGCAGCAGCCTCCCTGGGCTGCAGGGGGTAGGGGATGGAGGGGAGCCAAGGCTGCCCAGGGCTTGCCCTGCTGTGCTCTGGCATGGGTGCCACGGTGCCCGGTGCTCAGGCCCACCCTAGGCTGCTCCTGCAGCTTCTGAGCTCCCCAGGTCCCTGCTCCAAGCCCGGCCAGAGCCGCTGCTGCGGGAGACACCAGTTGCATTGTTCCGTGCTCGCCAGTGCAAGGCTGGATTGGGGCAGGCTATGTGCTGGGGTGGGCTCCATGCTGGTGCGGGTCGACCCACATGCCCGCCTGCCCTCCCTGCCTGTCTGCCGTCCCTGCCTACTCCACAGATGCTGTGGTTCCCTCCCAGGTCTGTTCCGGAAGGCCTGTGTTTCACCAGCCCGATTTCTTCCCTCACACCTGCTTCCTACATTTTTCTCTCTTCCTGGGGCCATGCCCTTCTGCACAGAGGATGACACAATTCGTCTGCTATAATCAGGGGAGTCCTAAACACTTTGCTTGTGTTTTTAGGCACGGGTGACAGGTGTCGGAGCGACTTGGGATAGAAGCAGGAGCACTTACCGAGGGGCCCTCCTCCCAGTAGCAAGAAGGGCGCACAGGGTCGGCTTGCATGGCCAGCAGGTGGAGGGCCCTCCCGGCCAGGCCCAGGAGCCGGGCGCGGATCTGCACACAGCCCACACTCAGCGGCTGCAGGCTCCCCAGCTGCGCCAGTGCCTCGTGTGCCAGAGTCCGCTTCAGCGTGAACCATTGCTTCGAAAAGACAGACACGTTACAGCTGCCACCCCAAGGGCGGCCGCCCCCCCCTGCCCAGGGGACCCAGTGAGCCTGCCCCTCGTGTCCTCTGTGGGTGGGGACACTGGGAGCTCTGAGAAACACCCCCGCCCGCAGGGTGCTGCCCGCGTAGGGAGGGTCTCGGGGCTCTGGTGTGGGGTCACAGACGTCTGCTCATATAACCTTAATTCAGCGCTCACTGACAAATCAATTTTAGGCCCGTCTTTGGTTCATTTATACTTATGTAAATTAATTTGAGTCATATTTCATGACGTCTAAGAAAATGTAAAATGGAAGAATGTACATTTCCCTCAAAACATTCTACATATTCAACTGTTTTGAATATGTCGTCAGCTGGACTCCATTCAACCAAAACGGAGTCCACCTCTATTGACTCTTTAATCCACATATGAATTAATTGTTACTATGAATTAATTAGTCAAAGCCAATTCATCAGTCGGGAAGCTGCGAGTCATGTAGGAAACGCCGCCGCAGTGGAACCTGCATTTTATGAGCCAATTCAGTCCCCTCAAAGGGCGAGACAACGCCCTTCTTCTGCAAGGCCCGGGAGCTCCCCCTGCTGCAAGAGGTCCCCGCAGGGAGGGCGCTCAGACTCCCCCAGCCGATCCGCACCGCCAGGCGTGCAGTGATGGAGATGCCTCCTGCTGGAACGGGGCCCCTGAGCTGCACTGTGGCCTGGTGCTCCCCCCACAGGGAATCTGCGACCCCAGCAATTACCAGCCCGACGGAAGTGCAGTCACTGGTGTTCTGCAGATAGTCCGCCAGCAGCTTCTCCAGGGACCCCTGCCCACTCTGCTGCCCGCGGGCCTCCTCCCAGATGAACTGGAGCATGTCCAGAGCCATCTCCACGAGGCTGAGCTTGAGGCGCGCCAGCTTCCTCATCAGCGGCGTGTTGACGTTCTGCAACTGAGGGGCCAGGCGTGCATCTGAAGCACGGAAGCTTCTGGTAAGCCTGACTCTACATCCCCACGGCTTGGACGAGGCATAACTGACATAAGAAACTCAAAATAAACTGCACAGCTCTATAGTGAAAAACTGACACACTTGGATCACGAATACACCCGTGAAACCATCACCGCCTTTGAGATCATGCAGTAGCCCTCACCCCCAAATCTCTTCGTGCCCTGTCGTGTCCCTCCCGGTCACCTAGCTGCCTGCTGGCACCCTGCATTCATCTGCATTTTCCAGAACTGTACCTACGTGGAAGCGCACAGCGTGCAGTCTTCTATCTGGTTTGTTTCCCTCGGCGAAGTCACCGTGAGATCCCCCATGCGGCTGCACGCACGCTGCGTCCCTCACAGCCGGTGTCAGTGCACCGTGCGGATGGGCCACACTCTGCTTATCTATTCAAATATTGTATTTCCAGTTCTGGGGCTACGACGGGTAAAGCTGCTGCGAACACCCATGTGCAAGTGAACACACGGGAGTGGAAAGGCTGGGTCCTGGGTGGGCCTGTGTGTAATTCTTAGGAAACAGCCGAACTGCCTTCTGCAGCAGCTGTGCCACTGGCGCTTAGGGTCCAGGTCTCTCCACACATCTGCTGTGGTTGGTCTTTTACATTGTAGCTGTTTTAATAGGTGGGTGGTGGTTTCTTACAATTGGTTACAATTTGCGCGTCCCTAGCTGGCTAATGATATTATCTTTGCATGTGCTTATTTACCATCCACATATTTGCTTTTGGGGAAGTGTCTGTTAAAATAGTTTGCTCATGTTTTATTGGGTTGTTGTTAACTTTTGAGAGTTCTTTATCCATTCTGGACACAACATCTTTATCAGACAGAGGATTTGTAAATGTTTCCTCCCTGTCCATGGCTTCTTCACTTTATTACTTTATGGCTCATACTTTAGGTGTCATAAATAAGAAATCTTTGCCAAACCTGAGGTCACACATCTATTTTCCTATGTGTTCTTCTAGAAGCTTCATGGGTTTAGCCCTTATATTTAGGTCTACAATCTATTTGGAGTTAATTTTTACATATGGTGTGAGGCATGAAGTAAAGTGGGCTGTTTTGGACGTGGATGATCCTTCCTTTGGCGAGCCGCCTTTGTGTCTTTGGTGAAGGTCACCTTCCTGCGCGTGTGGGGTCCCCGCCTGGATTCGCTTTGTTCCGCATGTCGACTTTTACACGAGAGCCACACCGTCTGGATTCCCGCTCCGCTCTGTACTAGGCCTTAAAATCAGGCGGCGTCAGACCCTCCAATTTCGTTCTTCTTTTTCAAAGCTGTGTTGGCCGTGTTAGGTCTTTTGTACTCTCATATGAGTTTTAAAGTCATTTTGTCATTTTCTCCAAAAAAAAGCCTGCAGTGATCTTGATCGGGGTATAGACGATTTAGGGCGAATCAAGAACTTAACAATACTAAGTCCTCTGATCCACAAACATGGTATGTTTCTTCACCTACTTAGGTATTCCCAGCTATTTCTCACTTATATTTGTAGTTCTCAGAGTACAAGTCTTTACATTTTTGGGACAAATTTCATTTTAAAATGCCGTCATAAAATTGTTTTAAAATTTTTAATATCTGAGTGTTTCCAGCATGTAGAAATACACAACTGATATCTGCACATTGTTCTTATATCCTGCAACCTTACTAAACTCAGTATTAGTAGCTTTATTTTTCGGTGGATTGCATATGACTGTGTATACAGACAATTTTGTTGTATGTGAACAAAAACAGTTTCCTTCCTTCCTTTCCAATCTGGATGCTTTCAATTTCCTTTTTTCCTGCCTGACTGCATAGGCCGGAACTCCCACGTCAACACGGAACACGGGTGAGAAGAGGGCACCTCCTCGTCTTTGTCCTTATCGAAAGGAGCATCGGTCTTTCTCCCATAACTGTGACGTTAGCTCTGGCTTTTTCACAGATGTCCTTTATCAGACTGAGGAAGTTTTCCTCTGTTGTTTGCTAGGAGTGTTTACCAGGAATGGGTGTTGAATTTTGTCAAACGCTTTTCCTGCATCCACAAAGATGATCATATGGTTTTGTCAGTTTTGAAAATAAATGGTGAAGCAAATTAATTTTTGAATGTTAAACTCTTCTTGGGGTAACCTTGGCTTGGTTATGATGTATTATCCTTTTTAAATATTGTTGAATTTAATTTGCTAACATTTTGTTCACAAGGAATGCTGGTCAGTAGCTTTTTCTTGTTGTTGTTAATATCTTTATCTTGTTTTGGTATCAAGGTAATATTTGCATCATAGAAAAACTGGGACGTATTCTCTCCTCAATTTTCTAGAACAGTTTGTGTAGAACTGGTATTATTTTTTCTTAGATACTTGGCAGAATTCACTAGTCAAGCCATCTGGGCTTGACATTTTCTTTGTGAGAATGCTTTTAATTACAAATTAAAAATTTAAAATATATAGGGCTACTCAGGCTTTCTTTTTGAGTGGGCTTTGGTAGTTCATGCTTTCAAGGAATTTTTCCATTTCATCTAAGTTGGCAAATATATTAGCATAAAGTTGTTTGTAATATGATCCCCTTATTGTCCTTTCAATATCTGTAGAATCCACGGAGAAATTGCATCTCTCATTCTTGATACTGGCAAATTATGTCATCTTTTTTTTTCTGATCCGTCTGACTAGAAGTTTTTCAATTTACCGATCTTTTCAAAGAACTAGCTTTGGTTTCATTACTTTCCTCTTTTATTTTTCTGTTTTCTGTTTCACTGATTGATTGCCACTCTGATCTTTAATTTTTATTCCTCTGCTTATTTGGGAACTGAGTTTGCTCTCTTCATACTTTTGTAAGTTGCAGGCTGAAGTAACCGATTTGAATCTTTTTCCATTTCTCCTACAGGTGTTTAGTGCTGTAAATTTCTATCTCAGTATTGCATTGGCAACATCTTAAACATTTTGATAGGTGTTTTTTAAATTCCCTTCAGTTCAAAATACTTTCTCCTTTGATTTCTTCTGTGGCCCACAGTTATTGCAACGTTTGCTATTTACTTTTCAAATCTTTGGCATTTCGCACATACATAGCTGGTTTTTTTGTTTTGTTTTCTGTTTTTTGGTTTGTTTTTGAGAGGGAGTCTTGCTCTGTCACCCAGGGCTGGAGTGCAATGGCGCAATCTTGGCTCACTGCAAGCTCCGCCTCCCAGGTTCACGCCATTCTCTTGCCTCAGCCTCCCGAGTAGCTGGGACTACAGGCGCCCGCCACCATGCCTGGCTAATTTTTGTATTTTTTTTTTCAGTAGAGACGGGGTTTTACTGTGTTAGCCAGGATGGTCTCGATCTCCTGCCCTCGTGATCCGCCCGCCTTGGCCTCCCAAAGTGCTGGGATTACAGGCATGAGCCACCGCGCCTGGCCAGCTTTCTGTTTTTTTAAATTGAGGTAAAAGTCACATAGCATAAAATTAACCATTTAAAAATATACAACTCAGTGGCACTTGCACATTCACAACATTGTGCCACCATCATCTCTAATTCCACAACATTTTCATCACTCCAAAAGGAAACCCGTCACCCATTACAAAATCATCCCTCATCCTCCTTGCCCTGTTTTCTACGGATTTATCTATCTTTGTTTCTGATTTCTAATTTAGATTGTGGCACCAGTATACATTTTCTATAACTTATATCTTTTAAATTTATTGAGACTTGTTTTATGGTCCAAAATATGGTCCATCTTGAAACATATTCACGTGCACAAAAAGAGCATCTTATTCTCCTGTTGTTGGGTGAACGTTCTAGAAATATCTTTAGGTCATATTGGTTGGTAGTGTTGTTCAAATCTTCTAGTGATTTGCTGATTTTCTGGCTCTTTGTTCCATTAATACTGAGATACTGAAATCTGACTGCGAGTGTGGGGTTGTCTATTTCTCCATTGCAATTTTGTCAGTTTTTGCTTCATTGACGGCGAAACTCCATTATTAGGTACAGAAATGTTTGCACTTCTAGCCTCTTGACTGGTTGCGCTGTTTGCACTATAAAATGAGTTTCTTTATCCTTGGTAATATTCTTTTTTCCAAAGTTGGCTTAGTTATTCATACAGCCACCGCAGCTTTCTTTTCAGTAGTGTTAGCTGGTATATTTTTTCCATTCTCCTTTTAACCTATTTATGTCTTAATATTTAAAGTGGCTTTCTTGTAGGTAACCCATAATTGGGTTTTGCTTTTTTATATAATCTGACAAATTCTTTTAACTGAGGGCGTTTTGATTATTTAAATTTCATGTAATTATTCCATGATTAGGTCTAAGGTTATCATCTTGCTGTTTATTTTCTGTTGGTCTCACCTGTCCTTTATTATTTTTCTTTTTTCTGCTTTCATGGGGGACAAATGAATACTTGTTATTATTTCCATGTATCTCCTTTCTTGGCTCATGCAGCACACATCTGTATTCCGGGACTTCTGTGGCTGTTGTGGTGTGTAGAGAGTATGATGCCACTTCACGCAGAGCATAGAAACCTCGCATCCGTTACTGACCTCCCAGTCTTTATGCCATTGTTGTCAGACATTTCATTTTTACTGTTATAGACCCCGTGCTACACTGTTATTGTTGTTTAAGCAGCTAATTATCTTTCAGAGTGATTTTTAGAATAAGAAAAATTGGACACACTTTCCCCTGCAGTTTACGTGTTTGAGGCTCTCCACGCACCTGTGTGGATCCACACTTCAGTGGGCATGGCTTCCTTCTGCCTGCGGGACTGACTCCAAGAGCTCCTGCAGGGCGCAACCCGAGGACGCCTTCCTTTGTCTCTCGAGTGTTTGCAGAAACATCTTTCTCTCACCTTCATTAAGAATCGTATTTTCTGGGTATAGAATTCCAGGTCGGCAGTGTTTCCTCTTGGCCTTCACAAGAGGTCCCTGCACTGGGCTCTCAGCTACACCGCTTCTGTGGGAAGCTGCGCCATTCACCTCTGTCACTCTGCACACAACGTGCAGTGCTCTCTGTCTGACACTCAGATGCTCTTATCACTGGTGTTAAACCATCTGGTTACGGCCCTGACACAGTTTCATTCCTCTTCAGAGTTCTTGTGCGTGGGATTCATTCAGCTTCTTGGATCTGTGGGTTTGTATTTATTTTTATCAAATTTGGAAAATGTTCAGTCATTAGTTAGTCAAATTATTCTACTTTCTCCTCTTCTCCCAGGATTCCAATTACACCTATATTCATGCACTTAAAACTGTGTGACTTTAATTTTTGTTCTCTTTAATTTCATTTTCAAAAGTTTCTGTTGCTATGTCTCTAAGTTCTCCAATGTTTTCTCCTGCCATCGTTGTCATTCACTCCACCTGGTGCCTTCTTCATCTCCCGTGTCGTGGTTTTCACCCTGAAAGTCTGGGTTTTGTCTTCCTTTTATATCTTCACCATTTCTACTTAACTTTCTGAACATATAGAATACAGTGATAACTTGTCTTCCAATTATAATATCTGTGCCCACTGATCAATTTGCTTTTGATTGATCAATTATTCTCCCTATTTTCCTGCTTTTCTATACAGCAATATTTTATTGGTTGCCAGACATTTGGGCTTTGTTTTCCTTTGGGGTCTGGTGGGCATTTCTGCATTTCTGTATGTGTTCTTGAGGCTTGGGCTCTGTTCCAGGACAGTTGTCTTCTCAGAGGAAATAGTTGGGTCCTTTCAGGTCTGCTTTCTAGGGTCTCTCAGGCAGGTCTGGAGTGGGGCTCACCAGGCCTAAGGACCCCTGACTGAGGCAAGGCCCTGTGTCTGCTTTGCCCAACGCCCCAGGGATCATGGGGGTTTCCAATCTGGCTGGTGAAGCAGGTGCTGTTCCCGCCCTAGAACACTTTTGGGTGGTTCTTCCCCAGCACGGGGCAGCTTCCTCTCAAGAGTGTGCTGATCAGGCCTGGGCAGGACACTCCGGGGCCTCTCCCGAAGGTCTTGGGGTTTTCTCTCTGTGCAGCCCTCCCCTGCCCTCCCCTCCCCGGGGCTCTGTCCCACCAGTGGCAGTGCCTGGCTCTCCGCAGGCTCTCGGCTCCATCCTGTGACTCAGGTCACCAGCAGACTCCACCGGAGCCACCACGGTGAGCTTGGACCAGGGCTCGGGGACCACTGCCTGTCATTGCTGACGTCTAGTGTTCTGAAAGTCCTTGTCTCATACAGTTTGTGTTTTCGTTGTTTCTGGTCCCTGTTACTCCATTTCAGCTAGAAGCAGAAGTCAGCTGGCTTGTAAGGTAAGTTACAGTGGGGTTTATATCCCAGTGGGAGTGACCCAGTGTACACAGGAACCAGGACACTTGCTTACATCTTGAAGTGACAATAGGCCCTGGACACTGAGGAGCCTCCCTTCCTCCTCAACCACGGCGCCCTGGGCCAGGCCATATGCTTCCAAGTAATACGCAGTTTTTTGTTCTTCATCTTCCTCGTTCTGGGCACGTAACCTTTATAAGACATAAGAATGGAATTTGTAACAAAAAAATGTTAAAACATTATGTTATTATTACTAAATGTTTAATATGTCATTTTCTCTCATTATACTATATATTTTATTAGTGCTTAAAATGATGTTTTAAAATAGCTAACATGTAAAGACATTCTCGATATGTCTTAGAGGTTTAAGAAGCTAGAATAATGCAGTATGTACAGCGTATTACGGTTATGAAATTTAAATCTGCGCTTGAAGGAGATTTGCGGAAGCAATTCTACAGCATCAGCTTTACCCAGCGGGCTGGGTTTGATTGGCTAACTCAGCTTCCGCAAGGACAGCGTACGGCATCCACAGTGACAGACACGGCTCAGGTCAGACCTTGTGGTGGGCTACACCTTCCCCGCACAGGCTTCTGCACACCTGCACTGGGCCCGCCGTGTCGAGACGCTTGCGTGTGGACAAGTGGGGGCAGCCCCGGGTTGGGGGCAGGGCAGTGGGCGGGGCCAGGGAGGCTTTGCCAGGGCAGGGGTGGCTGGCAGCTGCTGTGGTGGGGACGGCTGGCATCAGGACTGTGTGGGCCCTGCCCTTGGGGGGAGCAGCCCCTGAGATGCCGCCTGGCGCCGGGCTACAGAGCCATGCAGAGCGGGGCCGTCTCCTTAGGTCAGGGCCCTGCAAGCAGCTCAGGGCTGTGCTTGGGATGTGCGCGTGTGACCTGGGCCTGGGCACGTGTGTGCAACGCGTGTGTGCCTGTGGCTGGTGGGGGTGGGTGGTGCTGTATGTCTGCCAAGGGCTGGAGGTGCAAGGCCCAATGTGGGTGCCCTTGAGGGAGGTGTGGGCAGCCACGGGGCTGGGGCCAGAAGGAGGCCCTGTCGGGGCAACGGGGCTCCCCCGACGGGGAGGGCTGGACACGTGATCAGAACATGTGGGGGAGGCGGCAGCCAGGAGCTTCCCAGGGGAGGGGCCTGTGGACCCCAAGGGGGTGCAGCTGGGGTGAGCCAGGCCCAGAGGGCAGGATGGCACTGGGCGTGCTGCGTGTGGGAGAAGCAGTGACTCCCGTGCAGGGGGCGCAGAGGCAGCCTTACCTCTTGATCTTCGCTCGCTCTAGTTTTACATCAACACAATTCTCTTTGTAGCCACAGTCGATAAACTTCCTCTCAATTTCCAGCAGGCTATCGTCCATGTCTTTCAGCAGCAGCGAGCACTCTGTGGCTTCAGTGACCGCCGACTGCTGCGCAACTCTGACCCGCAGGCTCAGGCACCTGACGGAGGGACGGTTTGGGGCCTGGAGTCAGAAGCCCCAGGGCCGCGTCAGGACTTGCGGCTGGGCTGCTGCTGTTCTCCCCGGTGTTCATCCAGGGATGCTCGAAGAAACGCTTTTGGAGCGTTTCTTGAAAATCAACATCACACGGGCCTCATTCTGTGATCGCGTGTGATAAAATCAGCCCCACCCCAGGCACTGCATCCAGGTGGAAATTCAAAAACCCTCTCCTACTTGACTCACTAGCGGAACAGAACCCGCGCCGAAGCGTTGGGCGGTTCACACGCTGCAGCTGCGGGGCCCAGGGCAAGGCTGGGAGGGAGGCGGAGAGCACAGGAGCCAGGCTGCGGCCTGGAGCAGCCACAGCAGGGCCCCGGGCTGCCCTCGCGCAGATGCAGAGAGCTCCACAAAGACGAAGCAGAACACAGGGAAAGCCCAAGTCAGACAGAAATCCGTGTTGCTGGGGTCTGTAAACCAAAGCCAGCTCCTTAAAAACGTCCACTGTGTTGGAGCCTGTGATTCTGATTTAGAAGAGATGGCGTCGCCAGCCTGGCCAACATGGTGAAACCACATCTCTACTAAAAATACAAAAATTAGCCGGGCGTGTTGGCGCGTGCCTGTAATCCCAGCAACTCAGGAGGCTGAGGCAGGAGAATTGCTTGAACCAGGGAGCTGGAAGTTGCAGTGAGCTGAGATTGCACCGCTGTGCTCCAGCCTGGGCGACAGAGAGACGGCGCCGATACACGGCAATGAGGGAGGCGTGCCTGCGGCAAGGGCTTTGTGAAAGCTGTAAGAACACATGCCCTACAAATTCACACGGACACACCACAAACTTAGAGGAAAAGGGTTCCTAGGCCCTTCCCAAGGCCCTGGAGTTGCCTTTCGAAGCCAGACAGGACACGTGGATGCAAGGCCCACTTCTCAGAGAAAGCCTGAAGCAAGCTCAGGAAACTTCTGGAGCTTTCTGGAGCTGTGCGGAAAGCTGTGGATATGAGGCCCCATGACGTGGGCCTCTGAACTTGCACAGGCTGGACGTATGGCACAAAAATCGCAGACGGAAAAGAGGAAACCACAGCTTTCACGCTAATGAACAGTGTTTCTTACAAGGAGTTACCTGGCTTCTAGATCTGTGATCATGAATTCCAATAAAGGCAGTCGGTTTGGTCTTTCTTTCTTGAGGATCTTGAAGGCATTGATGAGCTTCTGAAATATGTGACACACCTGAGGACAGGCGGGGGTGGATACGGGTGTGTCTGAGGACAGGCAGGCATGGATACAGGCCTGAGGACAGGCAGGCGGGGATAGATACAGGCCTGAGGACAGGCAGGCGGGGACAGATACAGTCCTGAGGACAGGCAGGCGGGGACAGATACAGGCCTGAGGACGGGCGGGGGTGGATACGGGTGTGTCTGAGGACAGGCAGGCGGGGACAGATACAGGCCTGAGGACGGGCGGGGGTGGATACGGGTGTGTCTGAGGACAGGCAGGCGGGGACAGATACAGTCCTGAGGACAGGCAGGCGGGGACAGATACAGGCCTGAGGACGGGCGGGGGTGGATACGGGTGTGTCTGAGGACAGGCAGGCGGGGACAGATACAGGCCTGCCTGAGGACGGGCGGGGGTGGATACCGGCGTGTCTGAGGGTGGGCAGGGATGGATCCGGGCGTGTCATCAGCCGTCTGCCAGGCAGAGCATCCGATGTGCAGCCCCAGGTCCCCGTGCCTCTTACCGTAGCTTCTCTTCCTGGGTGTTCCATGGACAAGAGCGCCTCTGCCAGGGTCAGAGTGGAACTGTACCAGAACTCCTCACTTCCGCCCAGGGGCTGGGCCTGTGCGATCATTTTCTTGGCTTGTCCATGGTTTTTCTCCTTGTTGGCCAGCTGTGCGAGGAGGAGCAGGCACTGGGCCTCTGCACAGGGCTCATCCAGCTCCTGAAGGAGAGAGACTCAGACATGTGTGGGTTCCTCTGCAGACGTGTGCAGGCAGGGAGATCGGAGAAGGTAGAGAGAAGGCGGCGGCAGACAGAGAGGCAGAGGCAGACAGAGGCACCGGGTGAGGGGAACACAGGGCCGCTCACTCTGCCAGCGGACGGGTGGGGCCCACGGCCGCCCTCACTCCCTGGCAGGACTTGCTGTCCTGCCCGGCTCCTGCAGCCCTGTGGCTCCTCGAGTGGGACGCCCACCCTCCCCGCCCTCCCGAGGCTTCTCTGGAGTCAGCACCGGCTGCAGCGTGCATGACTGTATCTGATTCCTTTTAATTATATTTCAGTGATGTGCTGATGAGCGGGATCGGCGTTCAGTGAGGCGCAGCCCCACTCTGGCTCGTCTTCGGGGGGATCTGTCTCCCCTGCCTGGGCGGCAGGAAGCTTAGTCCCCGGAGCCTCCTGGGGCTCCTGCTGGCCTCATCCTAGCCCTGTCTTTTAGAGGCTCCCGCTTGGGGCGAAAGGCTTTGGGACAGTCGCACCTGGACACCGATGCTGAGAGCGGCTCAGAGGCTCCCAGAGCCCAGCCTGCCCGTCCGGGGCCTGCTGCCAGGGAGTTGGGCAGCCACATGATCTGGGACAGAAACACAGGGCAGCCTGTGCTAAGAAGAGAGGGGTGCTGGTCAGAGGGTGAGGAGAGGACGGGAGCGGCGGCAGAAAGCAGGTCCCAGCTCCAGGGCTGCCCGGGTATCTTCTGCAGCAGAAAGGCAGTGTCCTGTTCCCAGGCATCACTTTCTGGCCAAACAAGATGCCCTGTGTGCTCGATTGGACCTGGGCAGGCCCCTCCCAGGGTAGATGCAGGTGCGGGGACAGAGGGGAGGGTGGGCTGATGAGCTGGGGCTACCCGCCAGAGAGCAGGTGTCCCAGCTGCTGAG